GGGCGCGAGGGGCGAGCGCGCGGCCGGCGGGAAGGGCGGCGGCGGCGGTGGGCTGTGAGGGGAGGAGGGTGCCCGGCCCCGCTTGCCATCGGCCCCTCCGCGGAGAAAGGCTCCTCCCCTCTACCCCAAGGTGTGTAAGAACAGACGAGGGGCGGGAGAGCCCCGGTTCCTGGGGAGGGCGGCGGGAGCCCAGTCACCTCCGTCGCCCCTCCCCTCCTCCCCCGCCGCCACCACCACCTTCCACCCCGCGGCGTTTACCTGCGCGGCGGGCGGCACCCGCGGGGCCCCTCGCTGAGGGCAGCTGGGCCCCCGCCAGCGCCGCCGCCGGCCAGGCCTCTGGAAGCTTCTGCCGGCCCTCCGCCGGCCCGGGCCTGTGCGGGGGTTGTCCTGCCGGGCGGGCCTGAGGAGCGAGCGGCCTTCCCGGCGTTTCGCAAGGCTCCCCTGGGAGCAGGAGCGGCTGGAGAGAGTTTATCAGGAGTAGCAGTGCTAGCACCGCGCTGTTATCAAGAGCAGCCCTTAGAAAAGGTGTTTGTGGAAGGCTGGGTTGCTAGGAAATGGCCCTTAATATAGATCGTTCATGTGATTGGGGTGCTGGGAAGCCTCTGGGTTCCCTCGGTGGTTAGTTAGTCTTGCACGTTTCTGTGTTCAGTTACTCTGAAAAATGACTTTTGTACATGGGAAACAGTCATGTGCTCTACGATGGCCTCTTCATTCCGGATTGATTTTTTCCAGTTCTCAGTGAGAAGGCGCACACTTCAGTGCCACATCGACAAACTGACACCGTGCTAAGAGTGTCAAAGTACGCTGCTTCTAGTCAGGAAATTACTAGGTATCACTGATGCATGCCCGAGATACTTTCTGCCATATACTTTAGGCATTTCCCCATTTATTTCTTAAATTATCTTTGAGCCTGAGTGGGATATGAGCTATATTATATTTTTAATTACTTTTTCAGGGGAATAGGCTGCTTGGCTAGACAAACAGGGCATCTAGTCTAATATCCTGTTTCAAACCCTGGCTGTCATGAGCTGCTAACGAGAAAAAGATTTAAGAACTTTGGAAGAAGATAGTGGAAGATAACCTGATTCTCACATGTTTACTACAAATCTCTGATTATGTTTGTGGTTTTTTTTTATTTTCTGAGATGGGTTTACTATCCAGCCCGCCCCCTCCCCCAAACCTTGCTACCGACTCTGAGAATGTTGTGTATTTTATACATAACAGAGTAAAGCTGGATGCGCACTACAGAGGCCATTTAGCTCCTCTGCTTTCCACAAGACAAAATTGTCTATACTTAAAAAGTTTCTCATAGGTATTTATCTAACCTGCAAATTAAATTTATTACTTCAATGTCCCTACTCACAGCTGATGCTCTTTCCAGCAACCTTAGGTGCTTGCGGTGTTGCTGTTTCTCCCATTGGTGGTCTCTACACTCAATACTCCTTTCTAGTCCTTGCCATCTTCTCTTACAGGGTTTTTGGTGTTCAAGGCCTTCTTAATGTACCAGGACAACTAACATCTGGGGAAATAAGTTTCACAGTTTTTTCATTACAAAAAAAAAAAAAGCAGTTCAGCATTATGATTTGTCACTTTTGCTTTCTCTTCAGATTATGGTTGGTATATTTTTGCTTATGTTGATGTAGATTTACAGTTTGAGAATCATCTATAATTGGTAGATTGACAGTCATGTAAGATCGTTAGAATTCTGCTGCTAAACAGACATTCCAGGAGTAGATGCTCAACTCTCCTCCCCCCAGCCAACAGAGAGCCTCTTGTGACATTCTCATTCCGAAATCCGATAGCCTGAAGCAATTCCTGGTTTACTGCCAGAACTTGTAGAACAACACCCCCCTGCCACCCCCTCATCAAAACTAATCCTGTCTCAGTCCGCACTTACATATGACATGTATTGTATTGTAACTCTTCATATAAGCAAAAGCTCTTGTATTTCACAGGCTATTTATAGACTCAATGTAAAACTTTTCACATAGCTGAAGTTGCACAGAAGAGCAAAGCAATTTGCAATTCTACTTAATTTTTCTGTATTGGCACAAAATATCATTAATATAGTACTGTGTGAGCTCTTCTTCTAAGATGAGCTGCTTTCCCGAATATTTTTTGTTGTTTTGGAAGGTGATGATAGCATGCTTTCCTATATACCTTATCTCCCCTTGAGAACCTTCTGTGAAAGTATAAAGAAACAGACACACAGAGTCCTGTTTCTCTGTGGTGTCAGTAAGCAGGCACAAGTCAGTTCTGTGCTTTCCACCAACCCTAACTGCAATGGGGATGGTGGGGTATCTGCTGACCTTATGGGTGATCTGAAAACAGTTGTAATAGCCCCTGTTGATTACTTAGTTTATCTTGTTGCTCTTGATAGTCCAGTAATTCTTGGTCAGGGTTACTGTTTGGCTTGTGCTTCTCAGAGGAAATAATTTGACTTTGAAAGGAAGTAAGTGGAATGAAATGTGGTAAGATATTCTTCTTACATGATCACTATCTACCCCGAATATGGTCTGTATTAATCTTTTCCTTCTTTCACAGGCAGAACTGAATGTTTTGGGCATTTGCACTACATCACTCTGGGCTGAGTTTTGTTTTTATGCTTATGAAACCCAAGGTTTTAATCTAACAGGAGGATTGTTCATATTGCAGTGATTTCTAGTTCTGTGTCAGCATCTTTGCTGGTAATAAATGCATTATTTTTAATCTTGATGGTGAAGGTGAAACTCAACTGTGGTCACAAACACTGGGCCAGACCCTCTGCTGCTGTAAACAACATGGTCCATTGGAGCTGTTAATGCTTACATTCTGGCATGGGGTCCTGTAGCATGAAGTATAAAATAAATTGTCTGGACTGTGGCCTTTCAAAATATACAGACTGTACTTTCAATAACACACCAAAAATCTGACTGTTCATACAATATCACTAGGCATTTTCTGGTGCAGGCAGGTAAAACCAAATTAATAGCATTATGATTGCCATTTGATAGAATCAGGACTTTTAGGATCCCAGGTAGAGAAAACAATTATGTCCTTCAAGCCTGTTGTGCATTTTCTGCACATGGATGATTTCCTGAAAAACACTTTAGTTTGTTTTACTGCATTATGTTCTTCCCTACTGATACACATTATACTGTTGTATACTTACTGTATATGCAATACGGTACTGATATATAGGTACTGTAAGCACCAGTGACTTAATAAGTTTCAAATACTTAGAGAAATTAAAAATTCTGGCCACATTTTAAGTGTTCCTGCAAACAAGCATTTTAATCTGCACATTGAATTAAGCATTATATGAACTAAGTTAGTCTATTGAATTCACTAAATATATGAGGCAAGAGTAAAAGGAAGTTAATTGTCAGGAATTGGAACGTTTTTGAGATTAATTGTCTGTCTACTCATTTACACTGCAATTTGTGTTCCAGCACAGTGCTCAGATTAGGTCTACATAGAATATTTCCAAGCTCCCATCATCCACAGCTAGGATATAGGCAGGTGGAGCATGACTTCACACCCTCTGTTAGTTTCAACCCCAGGAAGAAGGGGATAGCCTGGGAATATGGCGGTGGGCAGGAACACTTGAAAGACATTCCGTGATCGGCCAGGGTTTCTGGGTAACTGCTTGACTGTGGCAGCAGATACATTTTTAGAGATGGTGTTAGAGAATCCCTAGGATGAAACTTGTACTGCTCTTTATGGATCATTTCAGCAGTTTTGTAACACGTTTTGTGACAAAGTCTGCAGTCAATGCAGAAGCTACTGAATCCTACAATAGATGTGCCACAGAGAGGAAAAGATCTTTCTAGAATGTCTTCTTATCTTGGTATAAGGACATAAAGCATCCCATAGATACATCAGGGGTGTGAAAAGATTCCTCAGTCCTGGATACATGTGGTTTTGTTGGAGATGGATCGCTGTCATAACAGGGTTTTGGGGAAAAATTTTTAGTCATAGAGAAGCTGAACAACAAGACCTTTTAATGGCAATGTTCTGACTCTTTGGGATGGCTGAATCATTATATGGAACTATTCATCTGGGAGGTTCAGTGACACATCCAATACTTTTGCTGAAGCTATGATGTTATACCTCAGCTTGTATCACTGTCCTGAACTTATGAATACAGGTGTCCAGTGTCCTTACACTCAAGATGGATCTCCATCTTCTCACATTCTTTAACAGTTAGAAGAGCAATTTTTTTTGTCCCCATGAGTGGAGAGGACTAGTCCTTGGGCCTGGGTGTCCAGAACAGTGGCAGACACTTGTACTGAAGTTGTATAGGTCATGAAGTCACAGTAAGGTCTCCTGAACAAGAGAGGCTGGGAGGCAGTAGCAAGGTAAAAAAAAAGGATGATTGTTGTGGTTTAACCCTGCAGGCAGCTAAACACCACACAGCCATTTGCTCTGTCCCCTCGCAGTGTGATGGGGAAGAGAATCAGATAAAAGATGAAGCTCGTGAGTTGAGATAAAGGCAGTTTAATAGGACAGAAAAGGAATGGCAAATAATAATAATGATAAAAGAATATACAAAACAAATGATGCAGTTGCTGGCCACCTGCTGACTGATGCCCAGCCAGTCCCCAAGCAGTCTGTACCCTCTTGGTCCCTGCAACTCCCCCCAGTTTTATTGTTCAGCACAATGTCATGTGGCATGGCACATCCCTTGACCGAATACTGACTCTTTGGCCAGTTTGGTTCAGCTGTCCTGGCTGTGTCTCCTCCCAACTTCTTGTGCACCCTCAGCCTCCTTACTGGCAGGGCAGTATGAGAAGCCGAAAAGTCCGTGGCTTTGTGTAAGCACTGCTCAGCACCTAATAAAACATCAATGTGTTATCAACATTATTCTCATCCTAAATCCAAAGCACAGCACTATAGCAGCTATTAGGAAAAAGACTCTACCCCAGCAAAAACCAGGTCAATGATGTAACTGTTGGAAATGATTTACTGGGGGTCACAGCATTTCCCAGCTATATAACTTATCAAACAAGACCTGCTCAGTGGCAGCAAAAAACAGGCTTGTTAATTCATTGCTTCCTTTTGAGCAAGATTCGAGGGTATTGGTTTTTCCCTAGAGCAAGTAGGTGTTTGCAGTCCTTGTGACAAAGGTTCACTCAGCCAAGCAGCCACTATTGCAACCAAACAAATAGAATCATAGAATGAAATTAACTTCTTGGCAATTCCAAGCAGAAATACAGGCTGGGTGGAGAATGGATTGAGAACAACTCAGAGGAGAAGGACTTGGGGGTGTTGGAGGATGAGGAGCTCAGTTTGAGCCAGCAATGTGTGCTCGCAGCCCAGGAAGCCAACCGCGTCCTAGGCTGCATCAAAAGAAGCGTGGCCAGCAGCTCAAGGGAGGGTGATTCTGCTCCTCTGCTCTGGTGAGATCCCAC